TACACACACACAAAATATATATGCAGTTATATATTAGGATATGTATTTATTTGGAATATATATCTTGTATTTATATCTTATATAGAAGAAAAGGATATATATTATATATACATACATATATATATGCGCATAATTAAATGCACCATCTTTTACTCCAAAAAGTTTGGAATTATTATAAGTTGATATGTATGCAAGATGAATTTCTTCATTGATCTTCATTTTTTTAAATTTGATTTTGTTTTTATATTTTTTATTTTTATTTATTTATTTTTAGTCATAATGATCTTCATTTGATTGATCCTTAATGTATGAAAATTGAGACTGGCAAATTTCACTGGTGATGAACCTGGCCCCCTAATTCTATTTTTTGGAAATGTTGCTGATTTTGGAATTTAGTAAACACAAAACAAAAAACCTTTCACATGATGAATCTTTAGGAAGTAGTTGTCTTGGAGAATTCACTGAAATATCAACCCCTGCATTTTCTGTTGAGAATGATGTGTAAACTAATGATTTTACTTGGTTGTCGGAAGAAGAATGAATAAATAACAGCAACAAAATTAACATCAGTTGACATTCTTATTTGTCTTAAACCTGAGCTGTGGCCTCTACCACAGGAAAGATATACCACACAGAATAAAGGTGTGCATTAACGTCTGTTTCTAGTTTGACATCAGTGATTGAAATTCATTGTGAACAAGGCAAATGGAAACAGAAATCTGTTAGGGAACGGAAATACCCATTATCCTTTCCCAGAATTCATGAGCAATTCTTATGCATCAAACAATTAATTCACTCCATTTCTCCCCAGCAGGTAAATGTACATTTCTCTTGAGTCTTCATATTATTTTTTCAACTGTCTCAGAATGTGCTTTGGCTTTTACCCTCTGTCATGTTTGCAATTGAAGATATGTTGTTCATTCATTCAGCAAATACACATTGAGTTCTTGCTTTATGCCAAGTACTATGTTAAGTGTTTGGGGTATTTCAGAGAATACCATAGACTACTTTCCCTCCCCTTGTGAAACTTAATGAAGAAAATGAGTAAACTATACACTTGATGTATACGTTATGGAAAAATATAAACTACTAGAGCAAGGTGAAAGTAAAAGCTTCTGGAATGCTGTGATGGGAGTCAGCACAGGTTATAGAATTACACAAAGCCTCATTTGAACAAACAGGGTTTGAGGAGGGGATTGGTATTTAAAAGCATATGATATGTCAAGAGCTTTGTAATGTTTTGAACAACCAATAAAAAAATAAAAAATAAATAAAAATAAAATAAAAGCAGTGAGTAAATTAGCTACTCAGGTGATGAGGGGAAAACATTCCAAGGTATAGTAGAGAAGTTCTTTAGTCCCTACCTATTAGTATTCTTCAGTTGCTTAGCTCTTTGGGACAGTCTCGTCAGCTGGGCTTTCTTCACCACCATTTTAACTATGAATCCTGCATGTCAGTCCCTGAGGCATGATACAAGGAATGTAACCAAGAAGAGTCCATCATAGAATTACTCTTTGGAATCAGTAGATATTGCCTTGGAACAAGTGACCAAACCTGAAAGGACATAGAGACCCATCTATGTTATGCTGATGCCAAAGGTTTAAAATGACATGGGGGTTAGCACTGGGTAGCCTTAAGTTTGTTTCAGAGGTGTGGGTTTTGACCAAAACTCACAGACCCCAGAAACTTCTTCCTCCAGCATTACACAGTTGACTGGCGATTTTATGCTCCCCTACCCCATCTACAACATAACACTCACAGAGTATATTGATATGGGGAATGGACATGAGAGAGTCACTTGTCACTTTCCACTTTCACTCTTGCTGCGGTTCTTTGTGATTACTGGGCATTGTCCTCTG